CTGTTTTTGTTTTTTTTTTTTTGCTATTTACGCTATGTTGAATAGGAATATTTAAAGAGAAGGGAGGGGGGGGGGGGGAGGGAAATTGAGGAATATAATTTCCCTTATTTGGATAAGACATAGGATAAGGGAAGGGAAAGGAAATGGAGGTGTACATTGACTTCACATTTTCATAATCCAAATCCCTCAATTGTTGGAGAGAACTGGAAGAAAAATGGAAGGTCACGCCCTCCCCTCACCTCCCTTTCTCTTCCCTTTTTTTTTTTCTTCTCCACTCCCCCGCCCCCCCCCCCCCCCCCCCCCTCCCTCTTCCCTTCACTACTGTCATCCAAACATAATGTTAATCTGCTTGTCATGGATAATGTTTCTTAAGTCATGACTGAACCAGAAAGGGTTACTAGTGCCATTTCGATCCCGGTCTTTTTGTCAAATTAATGGTTAAAAAATTCTTGTAGTTTATGACATTGCTTATTGTATGTAGTTGTTTATTGGACTGCCAAAACAATAAATAGTTATGCAGCAATGTTATTGTGCCTAGTTGTGTACAAGGTTGCAGGCTGTTAAACCTTGATATTGAACTAAATGAAAAAGGAGCATAGAATTGCGGATGTGAAACCCATCATTCTTCAATAAAAAAGAAAATGGATTTTGAATTTTTGCAAGCGTTTTGAAGCTTATGTTTAGGTGAAAAAAAATAACCTGCATTCCTCTTGGCAAGCTCACTTATTATATCTGACGTACCGCTGCATTTGTTTGATATTGCAAATTTTAAACTCCCCCTCCTTAAAATAAATTTAAAAAAAAAAAAATTAATAACCACTTTGCTGAAAGCATTTTCTGGTATAGTAAATCTATCACCATTTTCGCATGCAAGTGAAATCTATCACTTCAAGTGGGTTTGGGTTTTCACTGTAAACAGAGAAAAATGGTTTAATTAATGTTTGAAGGAATTCAAAAAAGGCTTCAAACGACAAGGACTATCTAGAGTAGATTAGACGATTTAAAAGGAGATTTCTGAAAATTATGGGAGTACTGTAGTGCATTTAGCTATGACTTGAGAAATGTAATGTACTTAGATGGCCAGAAATTCTACCAATATAGATAATCGAAAGGACCTCTATCATGCAGTATTTCAGTAATTGGTTGCATAATTCCAGATTGATTTTTAAATAAAACTGAAGGTTTCAGAGACTTCTGTTTGATTGACTTCTGGGGTAAGAATTGTGTTTTTCTGAGGTGTTTTTCATGATCTTTTTTTTTCTTTTCTATTTTTATAGGTGTCATGTATGAAGGGCGTGGGCTAGTTAAAGAAGCTTTGGCTGCTTATACCAATGCTATTTTGTTGGACCCAAATTACGTGCCCTGCAAGGTACTGCTCGGTGCATTGCTGTCAAAAATGGGACCTCAAGCATTGCCTGTGGCAAGAAACTTGTTGTCAGATGCATTGAGACTTGAACCTACAAGTCGTAAAGCTTGGTATTACCTTGGATTGGTACATAGAGATGATGGACGAAATGCTGATGCTGCAGAGTGTTTTCAAGCAGCTTCAATGCTTGAAGAATCTGATCCTATCGAAAGCTATACTTCTGTTCTTTAGATCTTACTCAGCTGTCGTCTGCACTCTGCAGAATACAATTTTCCTCTCCAAAAGAAAATATAGGTGGTATTCTTTCATATTCATGTTCAAATTTTCCGTTTCTTTTCCTTTTTTCTATTGGTTTGAGGGGTTCGTGAGAGTCATCAGTCATTGGTGGATATGCACAAACATGCATATCCTTGGTACTGCACGTCCAAATGGCTGAAATTTTGACAGAGTACTGATATGATAGAAGACTTTGTATGATGTATGCATTTCAATAGTTTGTGAAAAGAAAAGCTTAGGAATACTTTCTCTCGGCAACACCGGCCTGGTCGGAGAAGATGAGTGGTTGTTGAAGCACACAGAAGTGTTGTCTGTAACAAAAATAGGCTGAAGGAGGTGATAAGTCATAAGATGGCTAGTTCTTATTCATGTATCTAATTGCTAAGGATGTGTCATGTGTAAATATTATTAACTTCCATTCAATTATTCAATATACAAAATAATTTATTAAGTTTTGCTTTAATATTTATTATGTCAGGATCTTACTGCTCCCTAATATATGCACGCCCTATAAAAACTAAGAAACATTATGAAAAAAAAAAAAAAAAAAAAAAAAAAAAAAAAAAAAACAAACAACTGAAGAATGATCCTAGAATGTATATTTGAGAAATACTATAATTATACTTTGGGAGCTTTGATCATCATGAGAGAATGTGGAGCTACTCAAATTAAAACTTAGAGGATTACCAACCTTGCAAAAAAAATTTAGTTTTACAAAAAGGCCCACGAAAGCAATAGGACCTAGAATGCCAAATTGGAGATATAAACAAAGATCTTTTGTAGCTCTTCACTAACCCATACAATATAATTTCAAAACAGCTACATAGTTGAACCAAATTCATTATCGAGACTTTATAAACCTATTGATAGACCTCTTATGATTCCAATTACAATATTATATGACCTCGAGATGCATCTCCTACCATCCCAAAAGTTTTCAACATCAAGTCCCGAAACCTTCAAAATTGGTCCAAAAACATGGATTATAACCTTAAGTTTTAGACAATATTTGACTTTTTTTTGGATCAAGAAAGAAAAACATGTTATGATTCTTTCCATGGACTTAACGAGGACCACATAATTACAGGAGGCTTTTAGGGTGATTGTAGCCATCTACTTTGCTTCCAAACTATCAATTTAGTCATTTATGATTTATGTATACACCTCCTTCCATGGACTCAAGCCACCACGGGCCTTTATGTGACCAATTAATGGTCGCCTAGAGTTCCGATTAACATTATTTGTCCCTAGGATGCGTCTCTAACGGTCTTGTGAATTTCCAACACCAAATCCTGAAATCACCAAAATTAATCTGATTTTTTATACTCCGTATAATAACTTTAACATTTGGCTTCTATATAATATTTTTGGATTTGGGAAGATTATGCATTGAGGAGCTTCTCGGGGTTCCCAAAAGGCCCCAATTAAGAGTCGAACGTGGTGCCCGTTATCATTCATATGCTTTAGTCCACCTCTTGTCATCATGTTTGATCGTAAGATGACTTTTCTAGTCTTATCTTGACCATTTTACCTTTTTTCTTGGCCTTGTATTGCCTTGTCTTTCTAGTCAGTGTCTTGTCATGCTTTGGCTATAAGACAACCTAAGACGCTGCCCTAAATTAATAGATTTTTTTTAAAAAAAAATGAGGTCAAGTCAAATCTTCCTAAATTTAATTATTTTATTAGTTCGAGAACCATTTTCTAGTTGGGATTACCAACTAAAGGAAAAAAAAAAATTGTTAAATTTATACAATGTATGAGAAAATTGCTAATCTTAACATTTACTGATCTTGTCTCAATAAAAGAAATTGTTTGTTACTCCGAGGCCCATCATTCTCTATTTGACTCTTCTCTCATAAAAGGATGGCTTGTACTTGAATCACCACATGACATGCTTCTTGTAGTCCCACAAACCCACCCAACAAAGCGAAAAGGTTTAGCTATGAATTTATAATACATAGTCAAAGGCCTTATAACTGGAGTTCTCGAATTCTCTAAAAAAAAATACATCAAATCACGTCTATATCATTTATTAGTATAACATTTTATGAGAAAAAAACAACCATAAATAGTCAATGAAAAGTTACTTACTTACATGAGAAAGCTACCATAAGTATATGGATAACATTATACTTTTCCAATCAAAAGATGAAGATAGGAAGAAACTCAAGAAAGGACAACCACATGATGTGTTTCGTGTTAAACGTGTAGTCCCACAAACCCAACGAAACCAAAAAACCTAATTATGAATTTATGATACAAAGCCAAAGGGCTAATTATTGTTTCTCAGAAGTCAAAATACCGGTTTTCCTCCAAAAAAAAAGTCAAATACCGGTTATTCAAGTAATCATTTTTTTTTCTGAGGCAATAATCATGTATTCTTTCAAAAAACATAATCATGTGTATTTTTTCTTAGTTAGAACAATTGGACAGTGATACATACCATTTGTGATCGAATTTTGTCTGTAATAAATTTACAGGCTAAATTGATTTCCATCCTTCATAAGTGAGTTTTGACTCTTGTGAATGGCCTAGAACTAGAAGCTATGGATATTTTTTTTCCTATATTTCCGATTAGACGCATTTGACTTATGACATTATTTACAAATTATACTTTAACTAGCTTTCGTAATTTATAAGTGAAAGATACAGTCACGTGTGTTAGATTTCGTGTAATGTGTATGTTCAAAATATCATGTTTTTACAATTTATAGTTAGATATTTAATGAAAGCGAGGAATAGCACAAGTGGTTAGAACCCCCTCCCCCCATCTCGGTGCCAAGTGATTATGGCCTTATGGGATTGATTCTCATCACTCACCCTTATAGCTCTCTAAACACCAAAAAAAATAGTTAAATATTTAAAAAGCTAACAAATGTCCCGAGAACGTTGGATAAGATAACTAAAAATAGAAATATTGAATTAAAATGAACATCAATTATACTACTACGTAATTGTTATTAGGAAAGAGAAATAATTTTAAAAATAGTCGTACACTTAATTATTTGTTGGATCTTCGTTTATTTCATGGTCACCCCGATATTGACATTGATACACTCTTCGCTCAAAGTCTCTAACCATCTCGTGGCTTCTTTGAACGCCATACATCGCGCAATGCGCGTACAACTCGAACCGTGATTCAATCCGTACGATCGTACCTATAACCCTTCAATTTTGGATTTAACTTGGCTATTTAAACACCGACGAAACTCTTATATCATCCTTGATTCGATCTACTTCAGATCCCCTGGATAGGCAAACTTCCCCACTATATTTCAAATGAGAAACACGTTTGCTTATTCAAAAGTAATTACATATTTGACAAGCTATCACTAAAAATTAGTACGGAGTATATACATTTACACACAAGCAAAGTCCTCCATTTATATATTGAGAAGTTTGTTTACAACATAATAAGGTACAAAGTATAGAATAGCAATTGGCTTAACCAAAGCTGCACTTTCAACAGATTACATGAAATATTCCACTTTAAAGAAACAATATCATTCCTCCATGATCATCACATTCTAGAAATAAGGAGGGGGACGCTGAATGATTCATCACCCATGGCTGGCTGGAACAGATCTAACTCGCCATAGCGCTCCAGGACACGCATTCTGCAGTCCTCGGCTGCTTGCAGGCCAGTTGAATAAGCACCATGAACTGAACCAGGAAAACTAGCGCTTGTGGCCTCCCCCGCAAAAAATAAGTTATCTACTGGAACCCTAAGCCTCTCATACAAATCATGGGACTTCCCAACTGTATCATAACTGTAGGAACCAAGAGAGTTTATATCAGAGCCCCAGTGAGACACCAAATACTGAATCTGCATAAACAACATGCATAATTTCAAAATTCAGTTAATATTGTTCCTCAAGACTACCAAACCAAAAGAAGGATCTAGACATTTTATCCATTTCCCACAAACTGGTAGATGGGACATCAACACAAGAGTTGAGAACTTACAGGCGCAGATGCATCTGGAAGAATTGTTTGCAGCTGCTTAAAAGCAAAACCTGCAGCGGCTTCATCGGACATTTTCTCAATGTCCTTGGCCAACTTTCCAGCAGGCATATATACAAGAACAGAGTGACCAGTAGCCTTGTGGAGATTGAGAAAGTAACTGCATCCATATGAAGTTTCTGCAACTACACCTAAGAACTCCACATTTGGCCAAAAGACCTTTTCAAAGTGCAAAATTATCTTATTCTCAATTCCCACTCCTAAATTGGAGATAGCATCCTCTTTCCAATTTGGAAGCTTTGGCTCAAAGCTAATTGTATTAGCCTTTAGGACACCGAGAGGAACAGCAATAACTGCAGCATCAGCTATAAATGTACCGCCATTTTCTACCATTACCCTCACCCCGTTATGATGTCTTGTGACCTTTGTGACTCTGGAGGACAATGACAGCATTAAGTCATGCATCTAGACAAAAGGTGTATGAAATATAGAAGGTTTTACAAAAAAAATACCATGTTCTAACCTGTGGTTCAGACGTATATCTAGACCCTTGGCAAGTGTATTTAAAACAGGAAGGTATCCCCGCACCATAAGCCCATGTCCACCAGGGAGGAGCACTTCCTACAGATCAAGAAAGCAACAAAAATCCAAAGTAAATAACAAATGAAAAAGGCATTTTTAATGGAAAAAAAGTGCCTCATTTGGGAGGTTAGATACATAAATGCCATCAAACTATGATGCATCAGAATTAGCAGCATAATACTTCGGTTTCCTAAAGTTCTCAACATTTACTATCTGAAACATAAAGAGCCAATTGGAGAGAGTTGATGTGGAGACTGGTGACAGGGTGTAAAAAGAGTGACAAAAGTAGGAGAGACAAGAGTGTGTAAAAAAAAGTGGATGGGTGTAAGAAAAAGGTGAGTAAAGTAAGAGACTGGAAAGGGGTACATATTTTGATAAGAGGAGGTAGTAAAAGGATTTTGTCAAAGTAAAAGTGCTGAGAACTTTATGCAACGGACAAACAGAGTGTAACAACTTCCAGAACAGATGTATATATGTAGTAATAATAATAGTAGTAGTAGTAATATAATAATAATAGTAGTAGTAGTAATATAATAATAATAATAGTAGTAGTAGTACTATATGGCACGCCACAAAAGAAAAGGTATTATTCCAACCAATGAAAAATTAGATTAATAATTTATTTTAAAATTTTAAAATTTACTTGCCACCTAAGCAAAAGTGACGAATAGGATTTAAGAATTTTAACACATAGATAGAGAATAATTAAAATTTAAATCACTTTTAAAAGCCAATAATTATCTTTTCTAAAAAACAAAAAAAAAAAAAGTAATAATTATCTTTTTTACATATATAGATGCAAATTTTTAATAGAGAAAAATTAAAATTGAAATAAAAAAAAAAACTAAATAATATCTTTTTAAGATATATGGATGCAAATTTTTAATGGCAAATACTACGTATCTTTAATCTCTCCCTAACAAATATTATAAAAGTTCAATAAATCTCATATGACTGATTTCCATAATTTTAATAGTTAAATGATTATAAATGAGACTAATATTTCAAACAGAACGAGTATATTAAATAAACGCATAGGCAAAAGACTCATTTTGATCAATTAAAACAAGATTTGTCATTTCTTTTTGAATTAAAAATTTAAATTGTCACATAAGCAAAATTAGTGAATAAGGTTTGGAATTTTAAATTCAAGCGTCACGTAAAATAAATAAAACAACAAAAGATAACTTTAGTGTTAAATTAAAAAATTATCTTATGATATTAAAAAAATTTATCCATATATCTAATGAATGATCTTCATAAATATACAAAAAGAAGAGAGAACAATAATTACCTCATCCCAGCACTTCAGAGATATGGTCTCAGCATCTGCGGCAAACCAACCCTCCATCCTACACAAGTACCACTGCAGTACCTTATGAGCAAGCCCTTCTGACCTGTAGTTATAATAACTTGCAATGAATCCTTTCCTAACAACAAATAGGCATAACTTTTAATAGAGAGAAATACTACTCACCTCAAATCTGGTCTCCTTTCAAAGACAATTGAAAATGCTTCCTGTATAGAGATGTCCTCTTTGCATTCCTCTCGTACTTTTTCAGTCTAAATATCAAAAACCAACCAGAGTAAATATTGTGAGCTAGTGACCCCCAAAATGCCATTCTGAGGGGAAAATAGTATTCATGATAAACAATGTGAGAACTTCTACTTGCCTCTTTTAAAACATTTTCAAATGTTTCGCCAACTTTGACAACCAGCTCCTGAGGTACTTGACTCCCCTCCAAATCAAAAAGGGCATAGCTGCATCAAAGAAGTGACACAACACTTGAGAACGCATAAAAACATAAGGTATATTTCAACTTGATAAGTTTAGTAACTTTAGTTAATAGAACAAAATACAATCCTCTGACAGCCGAGTGACTGGCAGTCAAACTATCAAAAGTCAGGGTAGTAGTGATACTTAATGAAACACATTAAACTAGACAAGAAAAAGCCTACCATCACCCTCCCCTACCCCGTATCATGATGTTCATGAGGTGAAAAAGATACACAAAAGCCTAAAAGCATCTCGAGAAATTGGAGATGCAATGATACATACAATTTTCTTTTTTCAAAACTAGTTATTAAACACCATTCCACCCCATCCATTTACACAGGTTTTAAGGTTCAGAATGAGGACTGCATCACTAGATTTATCCTGAGCTTTTTAAAGTCAAGACTCTTGAGCATGGGTGAACTTATAGTTCCATAACCTAGAAAATTGTCTGGCAGAAAGATTCTCAGACCAACCTTTTCAATGATGGAAATTAGATAAGAAACTCATACTCAAATTAATCATCCAGCCAAAAGTGTAGATTTTGGCCCAGAAGCACCTGAAGAACAACTGATAGAACTTCATTCTTGAATAGACTTAAATTATTGTATCAACTGATAATAGAAATTAATAGCATCATAAGCAACAGAGTTGATCGTAGAAGAGTTACCTCTCTAAGTCATGGTCATACAACACAGAGTTGTCTCCGCTAGTACGATAAAGGGGTAGGCCAAGTCTACCAATTAAAGGTGCCAAGGGATTCTCATTGCAGACACCATGCAACCTGAGGAATCATTAGTAGCTTGATGAGTTAAGTCAATGGGAGAGAAGGAATAACAAAAGCTACAAATACCAAAATATGTATCACTCAAGTCCTTGAGAAACTAACCATGATGCACCTAGGTCAACTGGAAAACCAAATGTGTAGTCTGTACATACCCGACCTCCAATTCTATCACGTGACTCCAGCACCGTAACCTAAAAGTTCAAGAACTGAATATCATTGAGAACTGAAATAGCCTTCAAAAAAATACATAATATTCAAGTTTTCACACCAATTACAGCAACTATCACATAGAATAACATGATCAAAATACAGTGCAGGACTATGCAATCTCTAGCATCAATGCACCTAATTGACTATTAAAAAAGCTCCAGCAATCCTATTCTAACCAAAATAACGGGCTCAAAAAAGGCATTTCCTATTAAATTTATACAATAATACAAATAGCATTTGCTTCTTCATAACAACAAAAAATATAGGCCAATGAGCCATTTATTTGTCAATTTCTCATTTAGTGATATGCTTTAAGTTTCCAAATTCCACAATAAATCTCTCTTACAAAAATGTTCTCTTTCCTATATTTTGCTAAAGACACAAATTTTTTATTAAATTAAAAAAAAAAAAAAAAAAAAAAAAAAAAAAAAAAAAAAAAAGTCTCTGCAAGTAAAAAGAAGGCAAACAGATTCTTAATATCCCCTTTCCCAGCACTTCAAGAAATTGCTAAATCAAATAACTTAAAACATTCAAGTTTGAAGAAATATACAATAGATCAACAGATCCCATCAAATAAAGTAGGAAGTAACATCAATTTGTAGGTTTGATCAAGAGTAATTTAACTTAAGTAAGCACCTGAATAGAATTGTCATAAAGAGCACGAGCAGCAGCAATACCAGCCATACCAGAACCTATTACTATGACAGATGGTGAGGCACCCTGCCTCCCCTCATTGCCAGAAGAACATAGACCTGCAAGAAACAAGTATTTTCAGAACATTTGCATAATCCATCAAAACTAAATTACAACAAGTCCAGTGAATATAACCATGTATTGGGTCATGATTAAACCATGAAAGTTCAAAACTTTATACAATATGGTTGTTCACATTTTCATGTATAGTCACAACCATTGAAGAACTGTTAAAAACCCCCCAACAAGGCTCTAACCTAGGGTACTAAGTGCAGAGTGTGAGATTCAAAATCATTCTCCTGTTTTCCAACAAGCCTTCGAAAGTTCTGCTTAATAACATTCGTCCAAAAAAATCATGTAGGGTCTTGTTAGATTCGTGTTTAAAATCATGTACAAAGTACTAGCAAACACGCTTTAAAGCGATGTCAACTAAGATTAAACAGGGTATTGATAATAAAGTTGGGTAATTTTACACTCAAACTGATTAATCAAACTTTTTTTTTTGTTTAAGGGTAACTCATAAATCAATCTTTAATCACTACATATAAAGTACACATTGAAAATAACGACATCATCATATAACAATGATACAAGTAAGATATAAATAAATAAAAATAAATAAATAATAACGAGTGATTGATATTGTAAAGATTTCAGATTTCACATAACAACCCACCACACCGACCACATAACAACAGCTGCGAAAAGTGAGACCCACCATCAGTAACCGACAAATAAACTCCTTCCAAAAATAAATTTACCCAGAAATAGTTAAAATATCCCAAAAAAGAAATTTTAAAAATTAATTAAAAAAATTATACCTTGACGTAATTGGCGATTATTCTTGTTTCTGAGCTCCATCGAATGATGATGATCTGGGATTATTACTAGACTGAGGAATTAAGGTCGAATTCGACAAAAACGACGTGGTAGATGAATTTGATGATGATAATAATAATGAAGAATTAAAATTATGTTGATTAAGATTAAACAACAAAGTAGGGCTTAATTGAGGTGAATAATGAAGAATAAAGATCAAAAGACAAGTAATGAAGTGATTTGAATTCGACGACAGTCCCAGATTCAATATCGACCAGCTCATACGTATGATTGATTCTTCAAATTAGAACACCACCCAAAGAGGAAACAAATTAGGGTTTTCAGATGACAACAATCGAAATTCTGGGCAATTTCAACATAAGTTCGGCAATTAGGGTTCCGATTAAATCGAATTTACAGAATTAAGGGGATTAATTTGATTAAATTTGGGGAATCGGGAGGAATAATTGAGGAATGAGAGGAGAGAGAAAGAAGAAGACGTGAATAAGGTGATGATGGATGTATAATTGTATATGAGGTTGGTGTAATGATTTCGGGGAATATGGACTTGGGGAGAAAAGGGGAATTGGAATCGGATATTTATAGGCAAATTGACCAAATTGCCTAAACTCTTTTTTTGAACTAATTAATTAATTTTTATTTTTTTTTGAAAGAAATTAATTTTTAATTTAAGCGTGAATATATTGGATTTTTAAAAGAAAAAAAAAGCCACAAAGGCGCGAGTGAAAATCCATCTTAGGATCCTCAAATATCTAATATCAAGAGGAAAGTTCTAACCATTTAAGATATCCTTCACTCTAAATTACATAAGGCATTTTAAAGAGAGTATACCATTGCATTTGCTTGTGTATAACAAGAGACATTTATGTAATTATGTATATGCATAAACATAAGCATTTTCAAAATTTAAATTTGTATAATTGGATTATCAAATAATATCACTGAACATTAAGTGGTATTTTGTATGCATATAGAGATATTGTGTATGCATTCAATGGTACTCCCTCCGTTTTTTAATACTTACTCCATTTTTCCATACGCGGAGTTTTAGGAGAAATTGGAAAAAATAATAATATATGGAGGAAGTGGGACAAGTGGAAGAATAAAAAATTATAAAAAGCAAAAGTAGTGGAGAGGATTGGAGGAGAGAAAATATGTTGTGGGTCTACTAGGTGAGAGAAATTAGTTAAATATTGTAAAAACTTTCCAAATAAGGAAATGGAACAAGTGTTTAAAAACGGCCGAAATAGGAAAGTGGAGCAAGTATTTAAAAACGGAGGGAGTACTAAATTTATGCATAAATAGTACTACTGAAGATCCAATGATATTATATAAGCTTTCAGTGAAAACAATTAACATGCAATCACCGTCACGTGATGGCAATCTAACCAAAAAAATAGATAGGGTCCACCCATATACCTCTCTCTTCCTATCTCTCTTCTCCTTTTCTCTCTCTCTCTACCTTGTATTTGTAGAATATTTTAATTTTTGTTATGTATTTGCAAATACATACAATACTCTATTACTCCCTCCGACCTCCGTTTTTAAATACTTGCTCCATTTCTATTTTTTGCACTATTCATTTATCCTACTTTGACTAATGTTTGTGATTTATACATAAGAAAAAACATAGTCTTGTGGGTACTTGTTGGAACCATCTCAATGAATAAATTATTAATTTTCAATTATTAGAATTTATACTTATTGATAATTAATGATATTAGTGATAAAAAATTATCATCGGCATGCGTGTCCAAGAAAAATGGAGCAAGTATTTAAAAAATAAGGGAGTAATATTTTTATTTTTATTTTATTTTTTGAAACCATACTCTATTACTATTTCCTCCTCGTGATATTGGTAATGTAATTGTGTAAAATTATGTTGGTATGAAATTTTGATCACAAATTTTCATATATGGCTGGTCACACCATGTGGTCAAATTTACTTATTTAGGAGTAATCCCTGACCGATTGAGTAACCCTTGAATATGTTGACCAAAAAAAAAAAAATCTAGCCACACAAAAACGCGCTTAATTTTAATTTGATTTATTTCTTTTTCTATTGGGGTTGGGGTTGGGGTAACTTGGAGTAAAGGTATGGATAGGGATGCGGTAACTTGGGGTAGGGATGGAGTCTGGACTTATCCGCCTATATTTGTGACTTATATCTGAGGGGTAAATTAGGTATTTATGTTTATGGAATAGAAAGGAAGTAAAAGAAAATTTGAATAGGACAGGAAGATAAACTTTTTTAAAGGAGTAAAGTGCACAAACTTAGCCAAAAGTTCCAGTGAGCTCACTGAACTTTCAAAAGTTGCAAGTTTCTCATTGTAACCTCATGTGACCTTCATTTACAGGTTAATTGGTAGAGCTCCCTAAACTTTCTAACATAATAATCAGCGACTCCCTAAACTTTCTGACATAAAAGTTAGTGCACACCCTAAACTTTCTATAACTCCATAAACTTCCTCACATGATTTTTAATTAACTAGCCATTACAAAAATACTACTAATAATAATAATTAAAAATCGATTATTATATATATATATAAAAAAAAAAAAAAAAAAAAACTCTAACAATAGCTATATAAGTTTTAATTTTGAATTATTCTGTAAAAATGAAAATAAAATGGCTACTAAAGCAAAGTTTTTTTTTTTTTTTTTTTTTTTTTTTTGTGAATAAATAGCTAGTTCTAGTTTGTGTTCCTTTAATAATTATTTTCAATATGCTTTAGCCCTTGTCAAAAAAAAAAAGCGCTGATTCTAATCATAAACTAGTGTGTAGCCCGGGCGTTGCACCGGTTGCTACTTTAATTAGACCTTGTGATTATCAATTATATACATTTATTTTCATGTTTATAACATAGTTTATGATTGGCTTAGATGGTTAAGTAACTCTCTTTCTTAAAAAAGGTTGGGTGTTCGAATCCCTTTATCATCATTTTTTTTATATGAAGCAATATTCTAGTTGATTGAGTAGTGATGATGTGGCATAATGAGAAATGGAGTAGGTGACGTGACGTGGTTTACGTGGCACAAAGACATTCTTAGTAACGTCTTTTAATAGATTAGTTTCTTTTTACTCTGTTGTTAATGTATATGGATCATCTAACAAAAAAATAATTGAACCAAACTAGTTGGCTTACAAATGTATGATTAGATTTTTAAATTAAAAAATATATAAAATCCACCTGAGTAGTGAGTAAATAACAACTTTTAAGAGTCCAATAAGTAAAGTGCAACTTTTGGTTAAGTCTAGCCGGGTGTCAGTTCGGATAATCGGATCGGGTCTGATAAGGTCGGGTCGGGTCGGGTGAATTTTTAATGTTGAGTTATACTAAATTATTATGTCCACGTGAGTCCAAATCTGAATCAGATATTTTTCGGGTCGGTTTCGAATCGGTAAGGTCGGGTGTGATTTTGACACCATGTCTAGGGAGTAGTTGTATGCTTTACTCTTTTTTAAAGTCACTCAAACAAAATTAAAATATTTTTTTCATTCTATTTAAATAGATGCATCACTTTCACAATCACACTTTGTCAATTAACAACTTTTGATTTTTAATATATACTCCCTCCGTTTTTTAAAGTGCCCTATAGTGACATGACACGTATGACATGCAAAGTTTGACTAATAATATATTTAATTAATTATCATTAACTATAACTTATAACAATTAAACATTATTAATTATCTACTTATTAAGACGATTCTAACTAGTATCCATGAGACTATATTTTTTATTATGTATAATTCATAAACATTGGTCAAAGTATAATAGTGCAAAAATCCTCAATGGGGCACTTTAAAAAAACAGATGGAGTAAGTAAAAACTAGCTAGTGTGGTCAGGGCGTTACAGTACACCAAATTGCTACTTTGAAAAAAAAGGATTTCAGGAGAATAATTCTCCATTATCTTGAAATTGTTGAGGTTATTCAACTTTAATCAGTTTTTTTTTTTTTCAGTGTGCACTATTATTTATATGTATATATTTTTTTGTGCTTAATTAAAGATGTACGGTATTAATTTATGTGTGATGTGATGATATTGGTTAACATGGTTAGAAATGTGCTGCTATATTCATGAGGTTCATAAAAGTTTTTGGAGGTATCCAAAAATTGCTCATTCATCTCAAATTTAGCAAATATATAGAAGTAGGTTAAATGTCGCGTAATGCACGGTTGTTAAATATTTTTGACAATTTTATTATAATTTTTTTTTTTAAATTATGGCTTGAGTATTTATTAAAAATATAGAGTATATTAAAAATAAAAGCATGCAAGAGAAAATATTTAAAAAACATGTAATAGTTATAAACTTATAATGGATAGTTTGAACTTTTAGGAATAGAGTTATATTTTATATAAAACAAATTATGTCATAATTTAGATATAATTTTTTTTCCTTAAGTAACAATACATTGACAAGTGTGTCTTAAAATTCGCTTTTAGTAGTATATTATTGAATTGATTGATATTAGTTTCACATAATTATAAAATTACTACGTACCAATCTGTATCAAATAAGGTACAAATTGATTGTATAGTGTGTAAACTAATTAGGAAAATTTGTCAATTACTACCGCAAGTTAATACCACTTTGTAAATTACTACCGCAAATTAAAAAAGTTGTGACTTACTACCGCAAAAATTTTCAAGATGTTGCGATTACTACCAAACCCCCATTAAATCCAACTATGACGTCATTATATCACTTTAACCCATGGTTAAAGCTCTTAACTTTAACCATGGTCAAATATGGGTTAAAGCCCTTAACCATGACGTCATTATATCCCTAACCCATTTTTTTTGGGCTGGTTAAAGCCCTTAACCATGGTCAAACATGGGGTTAAAGCAATATAATGACGTCATAGTTGGGTTTAATGGGGGTTTGGTAGTAATCGCAATTATGCGGTAGTAATTCACAACTTTTTTAATTTGCGGTAGTAATTTACAAGGTGGTATTAATTTGCGATAGTAATTGGCAAATTATCCAACTAATTATTCCCTTTCATGTTAATTTTGATTTTTTTATTATCCTAATCTACCTTTCTCTTTCCCCTATTAGAGCATCTCCAATGACAAGCTACAACATGTTGTAGCTTGTCTTGCCACATCTGATTTTTGAACTACAAAGGTTTCAAGCTACAAAGTTCCACATTGGTTGGCTACAACACTTTGTAGCTTGCCTCATCAAACAATTGTTCAATTTTTTATTTTATTTTATGTTTATTATTTTATTAAAATTATTGGATACTATAGTGACTTTTTTATGTACAACTTGTATATCATAGATGATTGTGGTTTTTTTTTTCTTTCTACTTTTTAGTGAAATTAAAAATCAATTTCTGATTCATAAAAATTAAAATGTTTGAAAATAGTGTGATTGAGATAATACCAAAGAAAAAAGAAAAAAGAAAAAAAAACAGAAACATATCACATATTTATCATATTAAGTACTGTATCTTTTTTTAATCTCTATCTACTCCGTATCATTTTGCATGCCAAGCAATTTTACACACATAGTATTCCAATTGGTGGAAATTACTTTGCATTATTTTTTTAATTAGAAAAAAAAATTATTTTCTTCTAATTTTCAAGCAGTGTTGCTCATTGAAGCAGGCCTTCCAATGTTATTCCAATGGTCAAGCTACTACT